AAACCTAAACCCTAAACCCTAAACCCTAAACCCGAAAAACCCTGAAACCCGAAAAACCCTGAAACCCGAAAAACCCTGAAACCCGAAAAACCCTGAAACCCGCGACGTCCCAACCACACATGCCCCACGGTATCGCGTCTTGGGGCCGCCTTAATCCTGGGAAACTCCGATAACGGTTACACGGCTTTAAACCTCGGGAACTTCGATAACGGTTACACGGCTGTGATCCTTGGGAACTCCAATAACCGTCAAATACCTCCAAATAAAACCACTCGTACCTCGTCTACGCAATGCTATGAACTTTTCTAACTATACCCCTATCAACTTCGTTAAAAATAACCCTACTTTTTATCAAGCTTATATCAAACCCTGAACATCCAGTCTCCCCACTATGTCTAAGCTTGATCAATGTCATATCAACACGCCATCGTCACTCTATCCAATATATATCAACCATATATCAACACACTATCATCACTATATCCAATATATATCGACCCTGCCTCACTACTATATCCAATTTTTCTCTAATATATATCAACACACCATCATCACTCTACCCAATTTTTCTCTAATATATATCAACACGCCATACTCCCTACCTAAATTTTCTCCAACATATATCCAACTCAAAAAAAACCCTAATTTAAATCCCTAAGCTTTTCTCTTCCATCCAACCTATATTAATAAAACCCTAAACCTTCATCGAAATCATATCCTAATTCTCTCCAACCTACCCCTACTTCCACCTTATAATCTAACCCTAATGAACCTAAACTAAAATTTATCCTAGTTCGTTATATCACCCATCTAGATCTTAGCCACCACCACTCCCACCCTATATGATATCACCACATTGCCTTATATCTTGGTAATATGGGCCCGAGCCGATGATCACCACGCTTTATACTTCCATTCCTAAAATCAACCTGCCTACCCAATTATAATCTCACCATCAAATGCGAAGTCTGCTACCAACCTAACACAAAACCCTACAATTCTGAATGTCCACCCACTCGATCCCATCCGAAGCAAGTCCGACTAATCCGAATCATTACGACGAAACGATACCCGACGAACCGTGCCAACCAGCCCATTGCTGCTGCGCCTGATCAAGAAACTCCTACACATATAACACGTCTTCCGGAACCGAAGACCCCTATTACCGGATCCATGAGACCACTTCGGACCGCAGAACGAGATAACCCTGATCGTTCTCTATCACTAGACTGCGACAACGCCCGTTTTTGTGGAGACATTTTTAGCGTCGCCAAGACATATGCGGGCACTCTTGGCACGGTGGGTACTGCCAAGAACTAGTTATGTACATAAAATCGCCGAATAGGGTAATTTTTGCATTATTTTTGCATAAGGATGGGCGATGGGCGTCGAATTTCAAAAGGCCCACGGGCCGTGGACACTTTCTAGTGCCCATGGACGGGCGATGTCGCAGTCTATCTATCACCATCCTCCTCTATGTGTGACCGACCGCAGGAGACTCTAACAAAGGAGCCATTCCATGACCTCGCTCGTCAATACAAAACACTGAACGTGAAGATCCAGGAACTCGAGCTCCAACTGACAGTCCTTCAAGCTCAACCCCTAAGATCCAACCTCCGGATCGAGAACCTGAAAATCGAACGGAATGACGCTATGGCTCATCGTGACATTGCACGTCGACATCGCGGACATCTCGCCAACCAGCTCCGGAACCGAACCCCCACTGGCACACCCATCGTAGACGCTACTGCGAACCGAAAGACTACGAAGATGCCTGACCCTCCGATCCTCCGCGACGGTAAACAAGTCCGATGTGAAACCTGGGAGACCGTGGTCCGACAGACACTTGAAGCGAATGCAGACCATTACCCGCTGCCCGTTCATCGCAAGCTCTGTGTACGGAGTCGTTGCGAAGGAAAGCCTCGGCTCTCGATCGCACCACGAATAACTTCCGACTCGAGCAACCCCTACGTCGACGCCGAAGACATCATGGTCCACCTGAAAACCGGGTGTGCGAATCCGAACCGACGTGCCGAGGCCTACGCTGCATATCGTAAACTAATCATGAAGCCGAAGGACGACTTCCCCGATTTCCTCGCCGAGTTCATACTGCTCGCTGAAGAGGCTGCGGTCCTCGAAGAAACCCGGAAATGGGTGTTGTACTCGAAACTGCCATACCGACTACAGTGTCGGGTTGGGTGGGCAGTCAATCAGGATACTATGACCGTTGAGAACTTCTCTCAGACCTGCCAGAGTATCTCTCGAATTTGATTGTAGTGGGCCTGAGGACTAAATGATGGGACTGGGTTATATCGGCTTATAGTAGAAGACTATGTCAGGAAGAAAATCCCACTGCACTATTCATATCATTCGGAATTATTCCTAGCCAGGACCACACGACAGACTACCCACTATCACTGAAAACCATGGGGAAACGCAGGGAGTATCCGATCCGGAAAGCGGCCAAGGAAGCCTGCATAATCGTTCTGGTGGATAGTGCCTCGAACACCATCCTCGACGTGGCGAGTGACACTCTGCCGGAAGCTGCGAATTGCACCATACCAATTGTGGACATGGTCTTCCGTGTCAATGGACTTATGCTTCGAGAGGGAGAAATCTGCAAATCTCTCAGGACTGCCGTCAAGCTCGATCGCGCAGGGGATAGGCTGGCGACTGAGCAGCCAGTTCCGGTAGTGGGCACGACGAGCCCGCTGGTATCAAGCAATAAAAGGTTAGCAAGAAGAGCTTGGAAAATAGGACGTAAGAACCATACCGAGCAACCGCTATAGATTCCATGCTCGTCAATGTGATTCTGGGCCAGCAGACGAAAGGACTGGCAAAGGTTGGCAATCTTGGCCCCCAGCTGCGCGAGGACCCGGCCAGGCAAGATCCAGTTACGCTCAAACCCGTCGAAATATGGCCGTGTGGGGTCATAGGATCCCCACATCAGGTTCACCCAGGCGATCAGGGAGAGCAACTCGTAACGGTGGCCTTCGATCCCAGCAGGAACCTAAGAGGGAGACCGGGAGTCAGCAAAGAGATCGTGGATTCAATGCGGTGATACTACCTGCTCGCAATTCCGACCCTCCTGGGCACAGTTCTGGCAGTCATTGGAGTTACCGGAGTCCTGAACACAGCGAAACTCAAAACGAGACCCGAAACCATGCTCGGCCCCTGCCTGGATCCAGTTTATAACATTGAGCTGGACGCATGTGAGGCAAAAGAGGAACTGCCGGACCGAGGTGGAGAGTTGCGCACGAACGTGCTGGCCGGAGGGGTTGCTGTCGCCGGGGGCGCGACGACGCTCAGACATGATTGCTGAGGATGAAAAGTACAAAGGGACGTGGCGTCACTTGCGACGAAAGGGGATGAAAAGGGCGATAAGCACACTAAGAGGTGGCGTTAAGGACAAGGCAAAGGTGAGGAGCACACTCAGAGATGGCGTCAAGGATAAGGCAAAGGTGAGGAGCACACTCAGAGATGGCCTCAAAGGACAAGGCAAAGGTGAGGAGCACACTCAGAGATAGCGTCAAGGACAAGAAAAAGGTGATGAAAGGCAGGTCCGTTTACTCTCAGAAGGCTTCTTTTTGCCGAAGAAATCTACACGGAAGGCTGGCCATAAACACACGAGAACGCGTGAAAGGTTACTTATTCCTTATATCGACTCTCATATAGTACTTAATTTGCTAGAGTTGCTTAGATCCGTGCCTCCTTCTCCCCAGCCTTCTGCCACTGTACTCGCAACCAAATAAAATCCCTACACAGCATATTGAAGCCGGTGGTATAGTCTACCATCCCCAGATAATCACACATCGTATCGCGGTTGTGGGGATCAATGGTCTCGCCATACGAATGGCCTGTCAACCGCTGCACGATCCCCTCAAGCCATCGATCTCGGATACTGCGTGCGGCGACACGACTGCCTGTCCGAGCTGTTAGTCGTGCCGGCTGGGTCCGGTGCGCCATCATCGCTACCATCGAGAACACCATCCCTCGGTACTTACACTCCGTGATTGTACCAGGGAAGTGTCCAGGGTCACACGTCCGTCGTGGCATATAGCACTTGAAACATGCTGTGCCAGGTACGAGCTTGACATGACCACGTCGGGACGTCCACCACTCCTTGGCCGCTTGGTTCCCTGGGTTAGGGCACCGCCAGAGATCGTGGGAGACCTGCTCTAGCTCCATCCCATCCTGCGTACAGAACCAGCACTGCTGACCCCACCGGATGACCTCCGCGATCAGGGTCTCGCTGGCAGGGGATCCGGAGTGATCCGTGTACCGGACCTTGGACGGGGTACGCTCGATGCGCGGTGGGGTGGACCGAGGCGTGGAATGCCCTGGAGGGTGCGCGAGGACGGGCGTTCGTGGGACATACGGTCGCTTGGTTGCCGGCGGGAGACTGGACGAGCTCTGGCCTGTCTTGTATATATCGCGAGCAGTGCAGAAAACGGCCGGGGGATCTGTGACAGTAAAGTCATGGGAGATCGGTCGAGCGCGTTTCCCAGATGGTGTGTGGGGACTGAGGTGGCTCACGTCACGGGGAGAGTTCCGCGGCGGTAGAATCGCTGGAGTGGTGGGCGAACGTGCAGCGGCAAGACTGGCTATCCGAGGAGGACTCATCGCCTTAGCACGGAACCGCTCGTCCAGCAGCATCTGTTCGCCAACCGCAATGTCGGCTTCAATCTGCAACCGCTCGGCCTCTTCGTGCTCCTGTGCAAGCTGGGCCACATGGTCATCGTCCACGGCAGGATCAGGGGGAAAGTCTTCAAAGAGGTCCACGTAGCAGTCAATGTCGATATCATCCGGCGCCTCGTCATCCAATGGATCGTCCTCTAGCCACCGACAACCGTGGTAGGAGGGACTGCGTTCGGTCGCACTAGATAACCCACTGGGTTCAGACGTCCAAAAGTCCGTATCGATGGACTGGGTGGACGGACTGTATGCGGTGGTACGAAGATCCCGAACCGTTCTCTTCTTATCGACGTTATCCGGATCCTCTGGGTCTGGCTCGCATCGGTCACACCGCCGCTCGAGACGACCAGCAGCTCCGTCTCCACATCGCTGGCGGGAGTATCCATCCACACAGCCGTCGAGGTACTGGTCCAGGATATACCGTCGACAGTCCCCAGCAGCACAGTCCACAAACCGCCCAACCCGCTCGAACTCGGCCACGCTGCCCCCCTGCTGGATACGCGGGGCTCCAACTGGTTGGATGATGATGGCCTCACTGGGTAACCCATCCCGTCCGGCGCGGCCACTCTCCTGTGCGTACTCGAGGAGGGAGTAGGGAGCGCCAAGGTGGATGATGCAGCGGATATCGGGGATGTCAACCCCCATACCAAGTGCACTGGTGGCAGTGATCACCGAGGTCTCACCAGTACGGAACCGTTCGAGTATAGCGGCCTTGGCATTCTGGGAGCTGTGGTATCCATCACACTCGAGCACTTCTGCAAGTGCGTTGACGGCAGATACGGAGTTTGCATACACCAGCACCTTACCTGGCAGACTATCGCGGACCTTTTGCTGGATGAAATCAATCACCTCGGGCGCCTGTGCCGGGCGGTTCCCGTACTGATACTGCCGCTCGACCGCTGGCTGGTACATACGATACGCAACGTTCGGCCGCGATGTCCGGTCGCGGAAAAGATGTACGTCTTTACGCTGCGTACGAATCCGCATGAACAGCTCGTCTTCGACTTCAGGGGGGAAGCGTCGCAGTGAGGTACACCATCGGGACCTGGAACTTGGTCAGACGCCCCAGTCGCGCCAGGTCGGGTCGAAAGTGCTTCTGATTGTTCAGGATGACATGGCACTCGTCAATCACGATCCGGTCGAGGCGGTAGAGCGCCTTGGTGCGGTTAAGGAATGCAAAAAAGTCTTCCGTCAGCGCTGACTCCGGCGTTACCAGCACAATCGACGCACTGTCGACTGGTCGCCGGCTCTCCCACTCCACACTGGACAGCTGGAGTTCCTGACAGCGACGGTGGATATCCCCTCGGAGTGCCAGCAGGGGAACCACAACCACCGTGGTCCCACGGGAGCAGATCCACGCCGGCAGCATAAAGAGAAGGCTCTTGCCACCACCAGTGGGCATAACGGCGATCACAGGACTCCGTCCCTCCTGGATGGCCTCGAGAGCAGGACCCTGCATACCACGGAACCGCGCCTGCTCATCTCCGGTCATATCACGGAGTTGGTTTTCCAACGACGCCTCTCGGAACTGGAGCTGCCAGTACTCCCGATTCTGCTGCGCCTCCACCTGCCACGGCGAGTGTGGGCCGAGTGGCCTCTTTTCGTCTCGGTGGGCCGTGGCAGATGGGAAGAGGAGCCATCGGTGGAGGTCCTCGCTGACAACACGGAAGATCTGCCGTCGATACGCCGTCGTGCCAGGCTGCTCGTTGATCAGGCGGCCGTAGGTCGTGCCAGCCACGTTGGACGAGTGTCCGGCCTGCATGTCGGAGGCGTGTGCCAGCCACTCGGGCAATCCCATGCCGCTCTCGTCGTCTGGATCATCCGGTTCATCCTGTCCACTATCCTGGGCTTGGACCGATTGATGCACAGCACGGAGGAAACGGCGACTGATCGCGGTACAGATGTCACGCCATGCACTCGGTGTGAGGGACTGTCCCTGGAGATCGTGGAAGCTGGCCATCTTGAGCTGATCCCGCAGTCGGTCACGGTTCCAGCTCTTGCCAGTGTAGTCTGGTGGCCATAAGAACGCACGGCGATCACTGTACAAGGTTAGGGATGCGGTCGTGATGGATTGGACAGGGCTTACCGTAGGTGATCCTGCTGGCCTCGCTCGGCTCGATACTCCTGGAGCTTTTCCACAAACGGCAGAACCAGCCAGAGATACCAGACGACCAACTCGCCGACCTCCCGGGGTAGGTACCGATGGATGACCTTAACGTCGTTCGACGCGTAGAATCCCTTGTGGTACTTGGTCACAAACGTGACCATCCCATCCTCGATGAACAGATCGCGAATCCCTCCACCAGGGGTATTGCGGTGTCGGATACTGAGGAGCTCCCGGCCACGTGCTGGCTGGCCGCCGCAGAGGTGGACGATCACGCAGAGTTTCTCCCGGAAGCGGATCACTTTGTCGAGGTAGATGTCAACTCGCTTTGTCGTCAGCTGCCGGTCGTCGATGAACTGGCTCTGGATACTCGGTGTGTTGCGGGTGCGGAGTAACAGCCAGTTGGATCCGTCAACCGGCCACGGGGTCCGTTTGTCCTGCAGGAAATTCCATCCGTCCTTGCTCTCCACGGGGTCGTCGTACAGCTGACTCCATGGGATGGTAGGGATTGCCGCCGTACCCTCGGCCGGGGCAAAAAGGAGTTGGTCGAACAGACACTCGTGCGCGTCGCTCACCCGCCGATGGACGAACGACCGGAACTCCGTCATCGTGAAGTTCAGGTCTTTGTATAGTAGGCGATCCTCGGCCATCCAGCTGACGTGGCCCGGCACCGTACTGTTGAAGTGTACCTTGAGGCCGTACGATCGAAGGTCGAGCATCCATTGGAGAGGACTGCGGGAGCCACGTACCATGAACAGGTCGACCATATGATCGACCCACTGTGCAAAGGTACGGGTGGTTGGTGCTAGTACCGTGGCATGGCGGCCAGACGTCACGAAACTGGGGTCGTTCAGGGGACTCGCACTGTGCCAGTCGGAGATATTGCTCGGATCCTGCATCTGTTGCATCACGCTGGCGGCGTTTGGGTCGAGCAGCATGGCCGTGTGGACCACCATAAACCGAGCAATCTTGATTACCTTGGATAAAATGGGGGGAAGCTATCTGCGGTACGCCATCCACCAGGTCCGTGGCCCTGGACAGCAAGGGCACAGAGCAGCGCGCACTCGTAGTCCTGGACGTGGATCTGCTGGTTGAGGAGTTCGATGCAGAAATCCAAGCATGCACGGTCGAGCTCGGTCAGTGGACGGCTGATATCCGTGGCGTACTGCTCGCCGTCCATCGAATCGTCACTGTCGTTGGAGCACTCGCTGGCGACGTCGTCAACCCCACAATCTTCCTGCGTCTCGCAGCGGCTGAGCACGGGAGGACTGTCAGGGTCTGGTCCATGGAGGGAGAGTCCAGCCTGCCGCCAGAGGTGCTCCCATGATAGACGCTGGCGAGGGGTGAGGCGATAGGACGGGCTCTTCCATTGGTGTGGGGTCTGGGTCCGAGCGAAGAACATGAGGATCTGCTGCCACGGGAGACAGTGGCGTTGGATGTTAGCCCCGTCCATATACGCCTGCAGTGGTTTGTGGGGGAGTTGATCCCGCTGCACGCGGATGGCGGCGATGCGGATGGTGTGGCCAGTGAGTGCGGTGACTCTCTGGCTACGGTGGGTGACCGCTTCCATCGCATCCCAGATGGCCGCAGCCGTCCGCTCCGCCTCGAGCTGGTCCCCACGCTCCGGTCGTCGTACGCACTGGATCAGGTCGTCTGGGTCCGATCCCTGGAGATACTCCGCCCACTGGGTACGGCGGAGCCATGGGTTGGCCTCGTCAGCCTGGGCGGGATCGATATCGCGGTTATCGGTGGCCGGATCGCCAAGTGCGGCCAGGCGGTCGAACTGCGTATAGAGCGGATCCAGTGTCGTCGGGTGGGTGTCTTGGACGCTGCGCTTGGCTGGCTGGGCCTCGATCATCACATAATGCGATCCAGTTCCCGAGGTGAATACCTTCTGGCATACCACCTGCGTGGTGGGCTGTGCGGTGCTAGGGACGCCGTTCTCAAGGAGCGCCGGATGGTGGAGGCGCCAGTGCTTCCTCATTGTCTGCGGAGTTCGTGCGATATACCGGCACATATCGACCGAGCCGGCGTTCTGGGCTGCCTGGTAGTCGATATCCTGGATGGTGCACATCAGAGCGTCTGGGTACTCGGCGATCCCGGCAATGGGCATAGGGAGACTGGCTGGCGGGATATAGGAGTCGCACTCGGCCGCTCGGTCCCACTGTTGGACCCGACTGGCGATCTGCTGGCGGACGGCAGGGCTGAGCTTCTTATGCTGGTGGTTGAGGTGACCATTGGTCTCTTTGGGCCGAACTCCGATTTTACATTGCGAACAGACGACCACCGGGTGGTGTTGAGGTGGTATAAATGGATTCTCGGCCATAGTCGGGGATTTGAGGGTGAGCGAAGATATGTCGGTGAATAGGGATGCATGGGGATATATATATTAATTTCCTCCACCATATCGGCTGCATATCCAGTTGCTTTTTTGGATTCATGGTAGGAGCATACCAGATAGGGCTGTGAAGATGACCTATCACCTATATACTATCTGTCACCCCGTTCTCAAAAGAAAAAGTCTAGACACGTCTCATACAGATAGAATTGGTTTTGGGACGTATCGAGCGGCATAAAATGAAATGCGATCGCCAGCAGTCTGTGGAAATCATCTTGGACCTGTCAAGCTACCGGCTGAAACGGGGTATAATATAGCGGCAACACCCACCTCCGTTGGCCGTAAATCGAATCCCCCTGCCGCTGTACGGCTCACCCATGTCAGGATGCCTCCCGAGCGGCGGATTGTCATGGAAAAGTCCAAAGATATAAAGCGACGACACCAGAGAAGCAAACCGTTCCGGTTTACACCCGCGCAGATCGCCCGGATGGACCGCGAGGATCAGCGCGAGGCTCGGGCGAAGCAGATTCGGGAGAAAGACGCGAGACGAATCGCGAATAAAAAGAAAAAAGCCGACGCAGAAGCCAAGGCGCGTACAGAGCGGAGGGCGCGGGGGATCCCAGACCCGAATACCCGTGTGCCGTCCAGTCAGCCACTACTCCTAAAGTTCTTCAACGCTAGCGCCAGACGTGATCGGTCGCCGGAGCCGGTTGAATCGAGCAGATTCGTGGCTGATATAGACCTGCCAGACGGAGCGATTCTCAGTACCGATCGGGTGGTACTTGGCGGGGCCGCTGACTGGGATTGTTTTGATTTGTGGACCGATAGAATCGACGGTGGCGGCCCCGATCTAAAACCGCAGAGGGATCTTGGTAACAATTTAATTGTGATTGGATCTTCATCGGATCCCAATCCAGCGCGAGGCAACGATCCGGGCTGTGGCGCAGGAAAAACATTACCTGGATGTGATGGTACCGATGTGGAGACTGCGTGTGAGACTGGGTATGAGACATACCGAGATGTTACTATAGGGGATATGGAAGAGGCCGGTGAATCATGCTGGCGTTCAAGTCCGCCGGTGTGGGACTTGGATGTGCTCGCGTCTCATATGGCGCCTTCTGCAGGGTTGGGTATTTCTGCTTCTACCGAAGAAGGCGAGATCACGATAGCAGTACAGAGTCCTAGTCAATTGTCCTGCAGTCGACAATCGCCTAGGACTCTGCACTGTATCCCACCATCATCGCCTGTCGTGTCGGCCCAGCGTATATCTCCGGATAGCCAGTCGCCGGTCGCTTCCTGCCAGTATGGAAGCTCGCATTTTGCTTCCTCCCAGTTCGACCCGACCGATTTCCTCTTGGCTGAGGCAACCGTACCTGTTCAACCAGCGATCCGACCGGATAGTACTTGTATTGGCGGATGGGTTGACGACGGAGTTCGGAGGAGGCAGTCTGTGGCTTCGAGTGAATTGTTTTATGATGATACTGCAGGTTGGATGGAGGATATATTTGTCAATACTCACGGTCATCCTTTCAGTGACGATCGACCAGATGTCTATCTTACGCAACTGCCTTGATGATGTTGAGTCGGTTCTAGACTCTAGGTAGGATGGGAGGGGACATGGATGTTGGTGGGATACGATAATCTGCCTCTTTGTTTACGGCATTGGTGCATAGACTCTGCCGGGCGGTATCTACTGCGGAGTTACGGGGAAGAATACTATCTTTTTATCTCATGGAGGGAGACCATTATAGATTCGAGTATATTTCGTATCGATTGAATCTGTCTTGCTGTTCCTAATCTCCAGTAGAAATCAACAATATCAAAGGGAATTGATTGTTCAACGCATTGGAGATCGCATCGAAGGTTCTCGTTCCATTGCGCCCATTGAACGTCCTGGAAAAGGTCTCGAACGGCGACAACCAGCTCTCCGATGGCGGTGACCACTTCCTTGGCGGCCGTAACAATCTCCTTCACCTTGTCGAGGAAGTCCTTGGCGACGACGACAACGCCCAAGACTCCCAGCAGGACGTCCTTGGTGGCGGCGAGGAGTGCGACGGCTTCAGCCATGGAGTCGGACATCTCCGGGAGAGGCTTAGAAGACAGTCAGTCTAGCAACGTCGAGGATAGGGTGGGCCACTCACCATCGCAAACACGATGGTGGGCCCAGACGAGAGTAGATCGGGTGGAGTAAGGTTTGAGCAGGTGAGACTCTGGTAGCAACGGGATCAGTATCTGCAACAGCAATCGGAGTGGTGGGGCTTACCTTGAGTGGAGCTTTCGAACGTGGGTAGGAGTGTGGCAGGTGGTAAGTAAGAGGAGGGAATTGGAGTAGAATATGTAGGTGAGGGATTCCGCGCGCGCAATGGAAAACTCTGTCAATAATGAGCGAGCGCGCGTACCATCAGTCGGGGATCGCGCAATAGAAAACTCTGTCAATAATGAGCGCGCGTGCTATCAATGGAGGATACGCACGCAGTGCAAAATTGACAATAATAAGCGTGTATGCCATCAATAGGGG